GATAACAGATTGAGAAAATTTGGTTGACCACAGTAATTGAGCCCAATTTAGTAATACACAGTATTCACAACAATTTTCAGATCTTTCGGAAGAGGCCTTTAAGAATTGCAAATGGATCAAGCTCTGCTCCTATCTTCTGTAATTACACAGTAGTAAACAACCATTAGGGTAGAATGCATTCCACTGTATATGACCTGTAGTGGTTTTTTTTAGCGGTCTGTGGGCTGAAAGCTAGAAAAGCAGCCTATCATCAATAGCCTTAAATTCATCATTTCAAGAACATACTGTACAAAGTATTTCAAGGTTCTGAAAAATCAGAGTTGAAACAAAACCTTATTTCAATGGACTTGAAAGACATTTGGCTTTCCTGTTTGCTGTTTTTAGAAGGCACACTATAATTATCCCACACTTTTCCCCATTGACTATGGTACTTATTTTTGTACAACCTACAAAAAAGCCTAGGGTTTCGTCAGCTAGCGACTCCCATGGAGCTGAAGCTAGCTAGATTATACTCTGTCTGAATATAGCCCCTAGGACTTGCGTATTTGCTGGTCTGTTCTTTGTTTTTCTGGGGTTTTTTGTTTTCTGTTTTGATAAGCAGGTCCTTGAAAAAATATTAAACATGTTGAAATCAAACTCCTATTAACCACAAACTTACATGGTAGATATGACTGATGCTGCATAATGTAAACATATTAGTGTGACAGGCTCACTCCAAACATTTAGCTAGAAAAAAAGGTTGCTTTTAAAGCAGACAGGAATGTCCTGCTGTGTTGTGACCTGCGGTGTCTAGAGACAGTGCAGAGAAATGTACTTTTGGTCATGTAATTGTTCCATGAAGGCCAACACTTAACTTACAATTTTTAAGCTAGACAAGTTTGTGTTGCCCTGACTTCAAAGTTCTCAGTGCAAAAGCAAGGAAATCTAGCTCAGTTTTGTGCACAGATGTGCTGATTTTATGCCAACTATATCAGAATACTGTCAGCTATAGGGATATAGAGGGCATAATTGCCCAAGAAACAATCTGTCCAAGTGTTTACAAACAAAACTACTACTAAGATTCAGCTCTCTCATGAGCAAAGACTAGAATTGAAAGTGACCAATTTTTTTCTAACATAAAGTTAAAATAGGAGTTTATCTTTTCCGCTTACATAGGTTTTTGTGTGCATGTATATATATGCAAAGGAATTTAAAAGACTTTAAAAGTATTTGCTCTTACTGTTAAAACATGATCGAGGAGCATGATGTTTTGCAGAAAATTTTTTTTCTGAAAAAAATTGTCTAGAAGTACTAGGCAAATGTTAATGTGTAATTGTTTTTAAAAGAAACAGCTAAAATAATATTAGGTGTTCCAGACCCATTTAGTAAAGAGTTCATGAAAATAATCATGAAGTAACATAAGACATGTCTGTATAATTTGGATACAATTCTATTTATTTTCACATTGTTCTTCAGCCAAATGACAATGAAGCATTACTAAGGAAGTAAGTCACTAACTACAGCAGTTATTTCATTTTTATACCAACAAAACAAAAATAAACTTTTTGATGTGCAGGGGCATGAACATGCTCATGAACTGATCATTCCACAGTATCATTAGATCAGTTTGAAGTTAGAAAAAACAAAACGGAAGATCTTACCAGACAGAAGTACCAGTAACAATACAGTCTACACATTAGAAAAATACAGTAACAATAAAAAATAATAAAATAATCTTATTTCTGCCTATGTATGCTGAAGTAAACTTTACCTAGGAGGATTCAAAACCATTCTTAAATTTACTATAAATGGACAAAGGAGTTGCTCCTCTAAGGAAGAAACAAGAGTCATTTCTCCAGCAAGATGACAACACAAAATTGCTGGAACTCTGACTGGCCTGACTAATTTTCACTCTCTGTACATCCTCCAATTTGTTTTACTTAATGTTACATCACTACAAACACGTTACAGTAGAGTCAGAATTCAGTGAGAATTTTGTTGAATTAGAAAACCACACCAGATTGCAACCCTTGACTGCTGTTTATATAAAGACACTCAAGTTAATTAGTTTTAGTTCTAGGTGAAAGACATTAAAGGATGGATTAGAGACTTCTTTCCCCAATCCAAAAACAGAAATTGGCACTGTATACTAATAGAGAGGTGACAACACACACTGAGACTATTTCTGCTAAAAACCTCTAAATACAACCAAGTTCTACCATAGTTCGTAGTAGATGCTGTAAAGAGTTACTTCTCCTATGAAGAAAAAGGATGGTGAGAGGGGAAGAGAAGCTTCTTTACTACTTTTAATATAATTTTAATTGCTAAATTTTAAAATATTTTTTACATCCTTACTATGTGTGACATTTCTTTCCTGTAACACACACTTTTTTTTCTATTTCACAAGTGTGCTTATAAAATTGTTTTTAAAAATAAAGTATAGTACGTGGTAAGTTAATTCTCATCAATTCAGTCTCTAACAAATACGGAGTTGTTTTGTTCATATACTGTGCACAGTTGATTTAGTGCTAGCCTATAGCATTAGTTCATTTGTTACTGAGAACATTATGAATACCTTCAAAGCAGCTGAATTTGTAACAGTATTTCCTTCTTACCATGAATACTTCCCAGCAGAATATCACCAGCTACTGAAGACAGAGATGATGATTCTGCGTAGAGATACTTAGTTTTCAGCAGCCCATCTTCAGTAGATATGTTGATGGATGTCCCCTGCAGCTTCTCTATATTCACACTCTAAGAGAAATAAACTTAAATAAACATAATGGAAAACTTGTCATCACAGTTTGAAAAGGCAGAGGGAAGTAACACTATTAAGAGGCAAAACAAATGGAAAGCAGTTGTTGGTGCAGAACAACGGAATGAAGTTCTTAATTAAAAGCTACATAAGAGAAAACAAAACCCCTTTTCAACCAAGAGCTCTAACCAACAAGTTAACGATTCTTTACAGCATTCCTATGAATTATTACATCAATCATACAGGTGAAGAACTCAAAGAGTCACAAATGGATGAAAGAAAAACTGATTTTTAAAAACCAAAGCACTTTTTTACTTTTCAAAATGATAAGCTTTAATACTGAAGACTTCACATTCATACAGCATTATGACACTTAAAGCACTGGTAAGCAGTTTTCTGCCACCACATACATACATACTGGAACACCCATTCTCTTTGTTACATACAGGTATTTATGCAGTTTTTTAACTGGCTCACTTTGTAGACATAGCTTTGGTGAAGGTTTGCAAAAAAGCCACAGCTGCTCTTTTTCCTCAGTATAATTGTTCATATTACTCAGGCCTTTATTCTTGGCTTTATATAGCTTGAAGCTTAAGTCCTTGAAAAGTGAGAGATAAAGTCTCCATTCTTACTTCTTTTCAATAGAAATGGAGAGAAAAGATAAGATTTGAAAAGTTGCACAATGGATAGATTTTGGGAATAAAAGGTGATAGATGAGAATATCTATGTATAAGTAACCAGTTGTGTGACATAACCTATGCCTATCTGAACAAAACAGAGCAAATCACGTGCTTGTACAACTACCATATGAATTTAATTCTATTCTTCCTCAGTTAAACTTGATTTATGATTGAATCATGCAATAGTTCATACCCAAACCTCACTCAATTTGTTTTTATTTTGCTTACGCAGACTTTAAATGAATTGTACAAAATCCTTACTCACTGCATGAAATGATATATGGCCTTCTAGATCAAACTGTGCCTTATGTCAAATTATCTTTTGTCATTTTAGCATTGTCATCTTGTAGAAAAAAGTTAATACAAAAAAATAAGTCTGTGCTGACCCTTCCAGAGTTATATTATATAAGGAATAAGCTATGGATGAAGTAAGAGGTATTCGGACAAAGAGCAACTCCATGCTGTATTGTGTCCTGAGAAGTGAGCTAAAGAGGCTGGTTTAGTATGGACTGTATGACAGTCCAATTATACTGTGACCTTACCAATCCATATATACTGAGCTTTACATTGTCTTTACACTTTAGGTCATAAGATTACAGAATGAACTATTGTCTTAAGACTTTTGATGTGATGCTACAATACAAAGTAGATCTCCAAGAATGTAACAAGATACATTAACCTTTAAGAAAATCTGGGGATCAAAGTGCTGTGCTAGAATTAGGGATATGTGACAATCAATATCTACAATCTCCACAGGTGATGCTGCTTAGAACTACGCGTCAGAATCGAAGCATCAAAACCAACGCACCAATGATACTAAGGATTTGTCAGTTTTTCAATCTTTCATTGCTTCTAGCAAAACTCTAACAGACCCGAAACAAATGTAAGTTTACATTGCATCTATCCTAGGAATGTTTCCCAGTGTACTCCACTACTGCCTCACCCAGGATGCAGAGTGTAAACCAGCTGTGGCACACTGCAAAAGCAACAAGTAAAAGAAAAGCCACTGTCATTTTAGGATCTACAATCTGAATCTGTTCTGAAGAGAGTTAAATGACTTGCAAAGAACCTTTCCAACTTTAGCAGGGCCATCATTGCTATCAGCATAATGAAAATGGAGTGAGGCATACTTTAGAGGGGACAATAAAATAAAATAAAAATACCTTTATAGTTTGGGTGCAAACTGGCTGCTTTCTGGCATTGCTGAATGGGAAAAGGAAAGCCTAAAAAACTACATCTGTTACTATGGTATGCAATTTTTGACTCTATTTAGATACTTATCTTATTTAAATATTATGAAGTGCCTTATTACAAGCAAGCTCACATGCCAACTCATTTTATTTACCAGCCTCAACTACCTTTCTTAAAAATGCACAGCAATAAAAAGAGTTGTCTCAGCACACGATAAAAAGAAGTATCTGAGTCAGCTAGTTACTATAAAAAAAACACAAAACAAAAACTACCAATACAATAAACATTTGATTCGGAATAAGCCAAATCAGGGGGAGGGGAAGTCAGACTGATCAAGTATGAGACTAAAACCAGTATTCTAGAAAGGGAAAGCACACAAAAAAAAGGATTGCTTTTTACTGAGACTAAATATGGTTTCAATCCCAAATTTTTTAACTTTTATGAATTTTTGGCAGAACATAGTTGTTTGGCTCTGAAAAATAAGTGTTATAGAAAAATCCCCACGGCACAGATTAATCAAATTTGTTTGACTGGGGAGTCATTAGGTATTTTTGTCCATTGAACCACCAGGTTTTCTGGAAAAATTCCTTCTCTTGAGAGTAGAGCCTTGGGAGTTGCAGTTACCATGACTGACCACATGCTCAAGTTCCATCAGTTTCTTACCCTTTAAAGAAAAAGTGTCAGTCTATCTTCATAAATTAGACTGAGAATGTTTTTGCACTTGAACACATTTTCAAGATGAACACTAACATCTTGCTATGTTTAAATAAGACATAAACAAGTCTGTCCCTACATATTCTTCTTCTTGGCCTTCCTTTTTGTGCTATCCTTGCTCAAATATTTTACTAGTGTCTTCTCCATTTTCCCCTTTAAAAATATTCTGTTTCTCAAGTGTTTAGTGTCTTTTACCACATCCTTTCCCTCCCCACCTCCAGGAGGGGTCTGGAAATGCTGACAGAGCCATAATTACATAATGATGACTATAACTGATGGAAGAAAAATCTCATACAAATACACACAGGAGATGTAAGGCTGGCTGACTATTAACAGAAGTGGCCAATTGAGAACAGAAATCTCACACTGTCCTTCCTAACTACACAAATTTTTTTAAAGAGAAGTTCAATAATATAAGCCAAAATATTGTTCCATAGCTGTAAATTAATGTTAAAATTACTCATTTCACTCAAGTTGCTACGGCTTTACAACTGTAAGAGTGACTTCTAGCAATATTACAGACTATATAAATATTTATGATCAAAGAAGCATTTAATCTGCATGAAGTTTGTTTTATTGTTTCAGAAGGACAGTGTGTCTGAAAAAAGATGAGACTTTTAAATATTGTTTAAAGACTTGAAGCAAAACAATTATATTTCTCACTTTCATGAACTACATTTTCGCATAGGTATGGATCTAATTATTCTTCTACCATCCACTTGTTTTTATCAACAGCAGCAAGATGATATTTGAAATGAACTCCATAGACACCCCTAGTGTAAAAAAAACTAGTTTGGGACAAACGACTAAGCAGCACAACTCTAATTTAAAGAGCACCACCATGCTAGTATGTTGTAAACAGCATGAATCCATAGCAGTCAAAGCACTTCCTAGACTGCACTCAATCTTATCCACTGGTGGAAAGCAAGGATTCCAGTTTTCAGATCCTTCCACCAGAAGCCTTCTGCAAGAAGATGGATGACACATCAAGAAAGCTGTGAACTACCTCTGCCCTCTTCCAGTGCCTGTGGCTGCCAGTGGCTTAGGATGGATCCTAACTCCACTAACTAGTAATAGTCCCAAGGGAACTGCAAATCAATTCGCATTGGTCAGTCCAACTCTGGTATCAACAAAGCATGCCTCAGCCAGACCTTACCCACTCTGTTTTATGCTGGGAAGTCTCGATAGGATGAAATAGTGTTAATGAAGTAATATCAATCATAGAAATATTTAGGTTGGAAAAGACCTTTAAGATCATAGAGTCCAACCATGAAACTAGCACTGCCAAGTCTACCACTAAACCATGTGGTTAAGTGCCACATCTACACGTCTTTTAAATACCTCCAGGGATGGTGACTCAACCACTTCCCTGGGCAGCCTGTTCCAATGCTTGACAACCCTCTTTGTGACGAAATGTTTCCTAATATCCAAATCAAACCTCTCCTCGCACAACTTCAGGCCGTTTCCTCTTGTCCTATCACTAGTTACTTGGGAGAACAGACCAACACCCACCTCGCTACAACCTCCTTTCAGGTAGTTGTAGAGAATGATAAGGTCTCCCCTGAGCCTCCAGACCAGACAACCCCCAAGAATAGTACAGCTGCAGCAGCCTCTGAGCTCTTTTGTGCATAAAAGGCAGGCTAGCATCCACTACCAAGAAACGCAGATAATTTAACGTTGACAGTTTTTAGAAAAATCCAGTGGCAAGTTGCTTAGTTTACAGCAGGACATTAAGAAGAGCTCAGAGATGGCTCTATGAAAGTGAATATATGATCTCAGAACCCAATCTACAAGGTGTAAAACAGTGCCAAATGGCACTTCACAGAGGTGATTTTGGGCGCCTAGAACTTCATAGCTTGGTCTCATTTCTACCCTTGGCTAAGGAGGAGCCACTTGCACTCTGAGTCTTCCCACTGCTGCTGGTTTTAAGGGTACCTATTGATTCTGACAGAGTACTGCATGCATCCAAGCTACTTCCAGACTTGGCTTGGCTCCACATGTTCATATAGCAATACTTCAGATCTAATGAATCCAAATGTAATCAGTTGCATGGACATTATGACATTTAAAGATTCAAGCTGAGCCTAAAAACCAGACTGGGTGTGAGGACTGTAGTATTATGCAAGGGAGCCTAGCTCTGCATTATTTTAAATAATGGAGAATTGACTACTTACAGCAAGAAACAAAACCAGATTATAGTAGTATGAGCTTTGTCTCATACTGCCATCTGCTGAAAAAAACAAACTACTTCTCTATGAAACTGTTTTCCTGTTCATGATTCTTCTCACTGCATGTCATAACAAGATTACGTGTGATATTTCCTCAGCTGCAAAGAAATACACAAAACCTTCTACTCTTCTATTCTTACAAACAGCATGTACAAATATCAAGCCACTATTCACAAGACATTAAAATAAACTCATGGGCCTACTGCAGAATCCAGGTGCCTAGATAACAGCCAAGTAAAAAGTTTAAGAGTCTAAATAATTAAAGCTTATGAGCTGTATAAGCTAGCACAACCTCAGTGCTATTGGAATGATTGCATGCTTATTACTGCTCTTTCTGTGGAGCCTGTTCACTCATCACAGAATCAAGCATAAGACAATGTAGTATAATTAAACAGACAAATGTAAATTAACAGTGAAATGGCAATCAGCCAATGAGGGTCACTAAATATTCTTCAGCACATTCTTCAAAATTTAGTCATTTTGCAACAGATGAGCTAAATAAGCCATTGAAGAAAAAGGTTTACTCCTTACTTACACCCTTCTCTGTTGCACGAATATCTGTATTTCCATAAAGTGTTCCAAGGCCAATTACTTTGCCACCGTTTGTCCGTATATCAATTTTATGGCTCTGAAAAAAAAAGTTTAAAAATCATATGGTTAGGATAATCATATTTAGAAAACAAGTTATCTTGTTTTCAAAGATTTACCACAATAACAACCTTGGATCACAAACTGTCATTATACTGTGAAGGTTTCTTCTCAAGTGATTGCTAAATGCGCTGTTTATTTCCAGCGGAGTCAAACTCAAAACAAGTCACTTTTCTTTGTAACCAGAAACACAAGGGAAAGAATGATGCTGAGGAACCCTTTATTCTCAGTAGCGATTTTTTTTTTGG